TAAAAATCAATCAGATTATAATGTCATCGACACTTCAAATGCGAATGTTTTTATAATATTTACTTAATTGTGACAACCCTAAGTTCAATGAACAGAACACCGTAATACGCGGTGACCTACACACTTCCTTTAACAAAGTCTATTTAAAACAATCAAAGGACGATCGTGCTTTGCTTAAATCATAGACAATAGACAACTGAACTTTTATAACCCTTCACACGATATATGGAATATTTTATTTATTACTAGCTGTTCCCGTGCGGCTTCATCCGCATGAAATTATGAAAAAAATATTTTATTGTTTACATTTGTTAAATTATCAATTACAAATGTCAAAATGACATGACATGAACCTTGCTTGCTTGATGTTGGCAGCAACTTATCGTCTCTTTCCCACATTAGGGTTTTTATCCAAAATATTTACCCCGTATGTTCAACAGCGTGAAAATATATAGCTTAAAACGTGACGTAAGTGTAGGGCTTTTTATTAAAAAAGGGTTATTCAAAAATATGCTGTAATTGCTGACATCTTAGGCAACAAAGTGTGTGTTTACGCTTTATTATAATAGTATAGAAGTATAGATATTCAATTTTTAGACAAAAACAATAACAGAGTTTCAGGCGAAGTACATAATAACCTTTAGACCAGGCGCACACCTTTGAATAAACTATCGCACAACTGTTTAGTCGCTTTGATTCCTTCGCTTACATGGTGCACACTACTCATTGATTACTTGTGCAACTAAACAGTTGAATTGGCTGCAACAATCGACTATTGGATAAGAGCTGTGCGATAGTTTAGTCAAAGGTGTTGCCCGTTCTTAATGGCAGACTACACAACATAGTTATTAAGAATTAAAATTTATACACAAACTAGCTATCGCCCGCGACTCCGTCCGCGTAAAATAAAAAAAAAACCTATATTCTATATCATTATCCTATATGTTCTTCTAAACTATCCTCTACATATATGCCAAATTACATCCAGATCCGTTAAGCCGTTTAGGCTACAAACTCTAACAAACATCCATCCATACATCTAAACTTTCGCATTTATAATGTTAGTAAGATTAATACCATAATTAAATATATCCTATATCAACCAGTGATAATTCAGCTTTCTAATGATGAAAGAATTTTTGAAATCGGTTCAGTAGTTTTTGAGTTTATTAGTTACAAACATTTAATTTTTTACTACTGTGCAGACGAAGTCGCGAGCCAGGTATAATAAAGTACGTAGCAGTCACAGGTAGGAGATGTTTAACTAAACATTGTCTAATTTTTGAGGTATTCTATGAGGATAGACCAGACATACGAAGGTCACAGCAATAAAGTACAGACGTGGTAAGCCTTGGCCCGGTCTATGGCGTGGGAAGACCTTATTACTATACCATATAAGTCTATGACTTGGGAAGTAACAGATTATAAATTTAATATGACCAGGCACATCTATTAATGTGTCTAAATAAATAAGGGGACGGAGAAGTAATGTTTCTGCGTATTACGAAATACGAATGTCAATGTTTATTGTCTATCATGTTAATATTATAAATGCGAAAGTTTAGATGGATGTTTGTTAGAGTTTGTAGCCTAAACTGCTGAACGGATCTTAAAGAAATTTGGTATACACATAGAGGTTAGTCTGGAAGAACAAATAGGCTACTCACTTTTGTTTTTTTTTTTTAATTCACGCGGACGGAGTCACGGGCGTAAGCGAGTATTATTATAAAGAGAAAAGATTTGTATTTTTTCTTTTACTTAGTAATCGCAGCATATTTTTTTAGAATTATTTCTTTAATAAAAAGTCCAACACTTACGACACGCTTTAGGCTATATATTTTCACGCTATTAAACTTAGGAGGTAAATAAATTAGAAAAAACATGGAAAAGGGTCCAAAAACTACAAGCTACCAACATTAAGGAATCAAGGTTATGGTAACGGTAATTTTGACATTTGCAATTGAAAATTTGACAAATGTAAACAATAAAATAAAGTTTTCATAAAATCATGCGGATGAAGCTGCACGGGAACAGCCAGTTAATTAAAAAGAAATAAAAAAATATACGTTTTTTAGTCTTTTAGATACAGACGCAGAAGGATCATACAATTGTAATAATATACATAAATTAAGGTATCTTGTCAGAACATCCCACAACGTACTTTAAACGGCCACTTGAACGGTTAGAGGTCCCATTGTGACCTTTACCTAATACGGTAAGTAATGGGCCATTGCACTCCGGGAAACATTACCCTCCTGTCAGTCAGGCAAAAAATACATAGCTTGTTGGAATAGACGTTCTATGTTAGCCCTTGGCGTTATACAGAACGTTGGGTTACGTAATTGCGGGCATATTTAAAATCTTGGTTGTTTTTCGATTTAATGGCAGGGTAGAAGATCTGGGATATCGTTCTCTGATAGTTTATATTGTACACGATAGAATACTGGTAGATTTTATTGTGATTTTGATTGAATTTAAAGTTTATATAATGCTTTCTACTAAATATACCGAGTTTTACTTGTTTATCTGACTAATATTACAAATGCGAAAATTTAGATGCATGATGATATTTATTAGAGTTTGTAGCCTAAACTGCTGAACGGATCTCGATGAAATTTGGCATAATTGTAGTGTATAGTCTCGAAGAACACATAGGCTACTTACTTTTGTTTTTTCTTAATGTCGAACGGAATCGCGGGCTAAAACTAGTAATACATATGTGATAATCATATAATTGCTTATATGTAATAGAATCAACGACTCGATTTGACCTTCAATTGTAATTGTCCGTCCTAACTGGAACAATTTGTGACATTAAATGATATGTAAATTATTACGTAGACATATAGCTTGAGGCAAAGGCAATAAAAATGAATCATTAACTTCGAGATAATCGTACTTCATACTAATATTATAAACTGGGTGTTCCCGTGCGACTTCATCCGCATGAAATTGTAAAAAAAATTATCAAGTTATCAATTGTAAATGTCAAAATGACATGACATGATGTCAAACCATGGCAACCTTGCTTCCTTGATGTTGGCAAAAACTTATGTTCTCTCCCACATTAGGGTTTTTATCCAAAATAGTTTAACGGCGTGAAATATAGCATAAACCGTATAGCAAAAAAAAGAGTTATTCAAAAATATGCTGTAATTGCTGACATCTTAAGCAACAAAGAAGTGTGTATTTACGTTTTATTATAATAGTATAGATATAGTTTGTATGTTTGTTATTGAATCAAAAAATGATTAACGGAACTCGATGAAACCTATAACATATCTGGAAGAACACATAGGCAACTTCCCAAGTTTTTTCTTTTATTCTCGCGGAGAAAAGGTAATCTTATTTCTTAGTATCTCGCTAATTATAATGCCAAATTTTAGATGGATACATGTTTATTAGAGTTTGTAGCCTAAACTGCTGAAAGGATCTCAATGAAATTTGACATAGATGTGGGGTTGTGGCTCGATCAAATTAAATAAACTTGAAATTTATTGCTATTTTTAATGTTTACACCTTTTCCAAAACACATTTTCATACATCTCCTTTCCCTTTTTTCTCTGACTCCTAATTCAAACCAACGTCAAAATATAAAATTCGAAATCAATTAAAAATAAAACATTAAAATAATACATATTTAACCTCCTTGTAGTCAGAACATAGTCTTAATAAACACATAGGCTACTTAATAATTTTAGTCTCCAGCGAACGAAATCGCAGGCAAAAGTATAATTGATTACCATTAGAATCTCGCATTGCGTATGCGCGGTTACGTTTGCTTTTTGCTAGTAAACATTTATCATATTTAATTTTAAAAAAAACTATTATTAATGTCACTGATTTAATGATAGATCGGAATACTTATCTGACCCGGTGGGTTGACACAAAAAGCTTATTAGACAGTCAATGTCAAAAGTGTCACAAAATCTTGTCGAAATGAAACTGTCTTGTCATGTTTTGACATTTGTGTGATTTGTTTTGGCTATAACAAACTAGCTGTGGTACCCTACTTCGTCTGTGTGAAAAAAAATAGTAAAAAACACAGCCTATGTTACAAGTTATGTTAATGATAACGTAAGCTGCGTTATCAGTGAGTTTTTTTTTTTTTTTTTTTTTTTTTTTTTTTTTTTTTTTTTTT